TAATTAGAAGTGGCAATGAATTAGAGAAGAAATTTGATTTTAATTTAACATCTGCAACTGACAGATGCTATTTCACATAGTTTTCAGTCATTCCTTTACTAAAAATAATGCTAATAACGACTATAATAATAATAATAAATCACCAAAACATAACACAGTAATCCACTTAATCACTTTTTTAGTCAAATCTTGTTGTTTGGTATTTTCAGTGATTTTTTCTAAATAAATAGTTCTTTGCAATATTCAAAAGTGAACATTTTGGCTGGGTGCGGTGGCTCAAGTTTGTAATTCCAGCACTTTGGGAGGCTGAGGTGAGAGGACTATCTGAACCCATGGGTTTAAGAACAGCATGGGCGACTTGGTGAGACCTCATCTCTACAATAAATCAAAAAATTAGCCGGGTATGGTAGCACATGCCTGTAGTTTCAGCTACTTGGAAGGCTGAGGTGGAAGGATCACCTGAGCTCAGCAGTTCAATGCTGGGGTGGCCGTGAGCATGACAGTGCACTCCAGCTTGGGTGACAGAGTAAGAGTCCAACTCAAAAAAAGAAAAAATGAACATTTTACTTTCCCTGAGAATTTCCCAAGTATTTTTAAAGTGCATAATTTAATCTCAAACATTTAAGATAAAAAGAAAGAAATTTATCTAATCATATTGCAGAGTCTAATGTACTGCCTCTGTGTGAGGCCACACTAGGAAGCTTAAAAGATGTCCTTTCCAACTCAGGTGCCAACCTTGGCTCCACTCAGCCTCACATGTGCAAGAGCTCCTGTGACTTCTGGCACATCAGCCTTCCCCCAGTATTTCTGGGCACCTGCTCCAGGCTGAGTCCTAGCCTAGGCATTGCTCTGAAGAGGCATACATGTGCACACTCTCAATAGCTGCTGAGCCTGCAAGAGAGCCAGGCCCGACCTCCACACATGCAGGTGACAGGGTACCTTAAGGACAGGTACTGGTATATGGGAACAAGAGGAACCAACAATGACATTTAGAATCCCTGACAGGACTAAGGAGAGGCCTTGGTCTCCAAGGTAGGTTTTAGTTGAGGATGCTAAGGCCCAATGAGATGGAAAGATCTGCCCAAGACACCTGTCCCCAGTGGCAGCGCTGGACCTAGTGCGCTGGGGTCCCACCTCCTGGACTTTGACTCTTTCCTTCCTCTACTCTTCAGAAAGGATAGACTCATGATCAATTCTCCTCCCATGCCCATATCTGATAGGGTCAAATAAGTAGAATTCGGAGGACTTTGCAAAAGTGAAACTCTGGTTGAAGATCAGAAGTGGACCCTACACCAAAACTTCCTCTTGTCTCCACTGCTCCTGGTCAAGTTGCTTCAGAACGTCTACAACCTGGTCAACCGGTTACCAGCCAGTCACTAATGTCCTGGAGATAAACACGCCCAAACTACTAAAATGTCCCTTCACAAATTCATAAAGGCAAACCCTCTGAATGCCAACAACACTTTCTAGTGACTGAAAGGGAGGGAGGGCAGCATGGTGTTCACCACAGGGTGAAAGCCTCTGAAGAACAAATGGGGCATCTTAACAGACCCCTGAAATCACTCACATTCTGCTCACTAGGCAAGCCTTTCCTTGACTGCTGACTTAGAAATATGAGCAGGAAAAAACATAAGTCTGACAACACACTTCCTCTTTATGACCAAAGGATTATTGTGTCAATATTGGTAGAGATGGACTTATTTTGAAAGTAATTTAACAATGAAATGATGATGCTAAGCACACTGATTTTTTTTTTTAATTTAATGGAAAAAAGAAGTTCAATACAAAGCTCAAGAAGTGAACAGTGCCTCTCAGACGAGAAGGTTTTATTCACTCACAGAAGCACACCCACACTTCTTCAACATACCATTTCACAAATGCTGTGTATTATTAAGAGGAGGCAGATTCTGCCAGGCACATAATTTGTATATTTAAGGGAGGTGTATGGAATGAAAAAGCGAAATATGTTAAATTTCAAAGGACTTGGACGCAATGCTGCCTGTGAGCTTGTATTACAAATAGCCCTACATTATTACATACGCTATTAATGAGCCCGAGTGAATGAAAGTGCAATTTGAATATGCATGACTCTATCCAATGAGCAGGACTTTTGTGTACTGATGAGGTTTTTTTTTCCTCCTAAAAAAGGATTAAAATTATTCTTAGAAAAGTATGGCTGCCCAGAGACCAGTAAAATAAATGTACTTAGACCACAGAGTCCGACCACATTCAGATGAAATATACAGGTGCTAAGAGGATGCCTTGGACTCTACCCACAATTCCTGAAACTTATGCATAACCTGTCCTCTCAAATGGAATATTCTTTAACTTCAAGCAGCTGTGTCATTACAATCTCTAAGGAAAAAAAAATGATTTTGGTGGAGATCCCTAAACATAGGCAAGGTTAAATCAACGTTTTGAATACAAAGCCTTTTCCTCCATAGTAAGGAGCACTAGTTAAAAGACGGGGGAATGGGTAAATTATTGCACCAAATGGCTGAGAATTAATCTCTGCTGACTAGCTGTAATCTAACGAGGCGTCTGTGTCCCAGGGAGCCCGCAGCATGTCCCTGGCGGTATGTGCAGTGTGTCGAGTCTGCGTGGCACCCTTTGTCCTCGCTCACAGGCGGCCTTTCCCCTCATTGTCCATAATATCCTCATGCATCTGGGACGCGTGGAATGCATTCAGACTAACAGACTTACCATTGTTTTCTCTCAGAAGCTTTGTTGAGCAAAGACTGCATCACGGTTACTGATAATTATATTGCTTAATTAATCAAGACAAAAAAAATTTGCAAATCATTGCCTGGTTGCCAAGCAGGGAGATAAAAAATGACAACAATACAAGCTGAAGCAATATAACAAAAGTAACAGCTATCTGATCAGAAATTCTTATATAATGAAGCTATTAATGCTAAATCGGTTAATGTTAACATTGCTCCAGGTGTCTCTACTTAGATGCAAACAAAAAGGCTAACATTATGGATATAAAAGGCCAAATGTTGCCATGGATTCTGTAACCTGATAGAGAGGACAGCCTTTTCATTTGATTAGGGAATGCAATTTAAATACCAGGGACTGAAGCCAAACAAACAGACTTTCCCTCCGCAAGCCTCTCGCATTCACCCTGGGGTCAGTGGTTGGTGAACAAAAGGTCAGCCACACTTGCCCTGGAAATGTCTGGATTAATTTTATTACATTGTAATGGTTTGTACTTTAAATGTAAGGATAATACTAAATTTCCAGTTGGCCATTATTCTCTTCTTCCCTTTAGGCTTTTTGAATTAAAATATTAAGAAAGCGATTTTCTCTATTCATCTTTTTAAAATTTATGACCAAATTTATAAAAACTTACACACCTTATAAGAAATTTAAAAAGTCGTGTTAATGATTGTTTTCATGCTTTATAAGTGTACTACCTTTAAAAATATCATTCTTGACACCAGAAAGTGAATTGCAATGCCTTTTATGTTCTTATTTTTAAAAAAGGCAATATTTCTAGGATATTAAGTGACATTTCAGAAGGCCATGTTGAAAATGAACTAAGAAAGCTAGTTAATCCATACTCAATATCAAAGAAACACATTTTCTGATTTTGAAAGCTACAAGATATTAAATTCATTGGTTCTATAATATTACAATTTTTAGTCTAATTCTTAAAGCAGTACTTGTCATGGACAAATGCAAATGTCAGCATTAGGAGCCATTTTCTTTCACAAAACTGAAAACTTCACATACACAGAGATCTGAACCAAAGATAATGCAAATATTTAATATGAAGTAACTTCTGGCATCTACACTCGCTACATTATAATGAGGGCTTTGCCTTTATGTCAGGCTTTGCCACAGCCAGCATGGCACTTTTCTAGATTCAGGGTTGACTCACACTGCATCTAGTCTGACAAATAATAACAAGCATGTTAAACCTGGAATTCATTATTTTCATAGTGGCAACTATAGCAAAAAATAACAGAAATAATAATAGCTAACACTTAAGTAGCTTTAATCTGGACCAGGTACTGTTTAAAGCACTTTTCATTTATTAGTTCATTTAATCCTCACAATTTTAATACCTTTGATTAGGCTATAAATCCCAATTTGAACAGCAAATTTCAGATATCTATTAACTTAAAGTTTAAAAAGAGAGACTTTTAAGAAGGGTTAAATTTCAGCTTCTTAAGGAGAACAATTTAGAATGAAAATGAAGATTATATTTAATGCCAAGCTGAAAAATACAAAGTAGTATTCTTGAGGAAATGGCTTAACATGCTAAACATTTAATTTAAAAACTTTAAAAAACTCTATTAGTGATTCCAAACCCCAAAACAAGTCACTACATAAAGCGCTGCTAACATGTCACTAAAGGTATGACAAGGACAGAAACTGCAGCCAATTTAGGATAGAGCACACAGATCACTGAATTGTTCCAGTCATTCGCATGATCAATACCAGTTGACATGGCTGAACTGATTCTGTGGCAAGGTGTTTCAGTTGTTAGAAATCACCACGTGGGGCTGTGACCCCGAGACTCAACCTCTTCATGGACATCCTGCAGGACTGATCCCTTCAGTTCTGGTCCGCGGCTTGGCCATCTCCCCCGAGTCCATTAGGCAAAGCTAAATTCCATACCCACAGTTATCGCAGAATGCTAGGTGTGGTATGGGGCTCCTGCAACTCATCAACATGCCCCAAATTTGAAATTACAATTTTTTAAATTATAAAATTTTTAAAACCTAAAACATTTTAAAACTAATAATTTTTCACAATATTTTCAAAGATGCCCAGTAATATAAAATAGAATTTTGTGCTCATGATAAAAAATTCTTTGAAAATCCCATTGCCTACTTAATTCCTATATAGCATGTGAAATTCAGTTCTAGGTAAGGCATTTGCCAGTTGGAGAAGAGTCCCCTTTAACATATTTATGTAATTGTTTTCCATGGCAGTGAATCATAGGGCAAATGCTGTATGAGTTAGAGCAACAATGGGTAAAAACATACCTCGGGTTTCTTCGTTATCGCGATAAAGAACATGTGATTCTTCATTGGGTAAATAATGATTGAAACATCTCCGAAGGCGGTTGGGATGATGCCCCTGCGGTAGTCCCTGGAGTGCTCAGACCAGACGATGTGGACCTCATCATTCCCCAAGTGCCGGAGCTGCAACAGCAAATTGACTCCTTATTAATCTGGGTGATAACAGCAGTTTATGAGGGGTCGTGGCTTACAAATTGAATGATAAAACTCGGAGACCAAAATATTTCACTACCAAAAAAGGCTACTGATGTCTTCTATGAGGATTTTAAAAAGCACAAATGCGTAAAGATTCGGCAGTCTCCTTAGTACATTGGTACCAAGCTCCGCAGACACCCTGGGGCTAGATGTGCTGAGACCTTCTTAAGAACCTGTTTTCTACTGGAATTTTACTGCTGCATTGGAGTTAAACGCTTTATATTGCTGGCATGTTTCTGGACAATTAGTGACATGAGTCTTTTATTTCACATTATAGTAGTGCTTCATAAGACTCTTCAGTTATTTAAAAAATAAGAAAATGAATATAAGAGAACATAATCTATCACAACACAATTGGTACCAAATGTATAAGAAGCTAGACTTGCAATAAATCTTTAAGGAAAAGGATGCATAAAATTGTTTTTGTTTAAGAAGTGATTACATATTACTTAAGTGTGATAAGAACTCTACTCCCCAGCATTTAAAGAGCACCTTGCTGTGTAGGAAGTATGTTCACACATATTGTCACACTCTGAGGTAGGTGACATCACCTTTGTCTTACAGAGAGGAAACGCGGGCTCAGAAAGGCAGAGGCACTGACCACTCACGCGTGCATAAGCAGCCACGCCGGGGCAGGCCTGGGATACTGCTGGGGCTTCCAACCCAGTGCCCTCTCCACTGTCTGTGGCTCCATTAGCTACTCAGCGGTTACTTGGGCTACATCAGCACTCACAGCTACTCTCCTGTCTTAGCCTAACCAGCATAGTCCACTTGTTTTACCGTTTTACAGAGGCTGTAAACAACAAAAGCAAATCCCAGACTCCTGGCCTCCTTGAGAAGTCCTCACTAGGAAGATATCCAGGCAAGGACCCCTGAGAGTTCTTCTAGACCCAAGTTCTGCCAGATGTAAGAACATCCTTGATGAACCTGCACAGTGACAGTGCACTCTCAAACTAGAGACAGCTGCATATGAAAGCCTCTGAGTAGGCCTGAAGGCATGGCTGAAAGGAACTAGATCACAAAGATGAACATGATGATCCCAACTGAAGTTCTGAGACCATAAAGGCGGGCTGCTCAGGCCCTCTGACACCTGGGAACTTGAGATTTGGGTTCTCTTGGAACATCAGAAGGATATTCTCCATCACCATGAACAAGTATTTCTTGCTTCCTTGATTATCTAGCAGAGGAACACTAAATGTGATATAAATTCCGAAGTGCTTTAATGAAACAGAGAAGTGACAAAGCCAATGTTTTAGTTTGATCTTAAAAGGTTTTTAAAAAAGACGTTCTAGAATTCGATGTATTTAAAATGTGTTCGCATGAATGCAATTTTCTTTATAGACTATGTGACCACAAAGAGAAGTCTAAGGTGGCCCCAACACAGCTCTTTTCCATTTATAAGGTTACAAAGAAAGCCAGTTTACTGCAATGCCTGCTTCTTCTTCACTGTCTCCTACTTCTGGGAATGACTTTCTTTACAAAGAGACTTGTGCCTGTACTTTTGTATCTGTGTTAAGGGGCACACGACTCAATTGTGTCTGTATATGGGCTCTGGGACAAACACAATGACGGGTGTCGAGCACAAGTCACGGTGATCCAGAACAATTTAATGGTGTCTATGACATTCTAAATGCAAAACTGCCTGGTACATCTTTTTTTTGCTCCCCTTCCATATAAAGGCTATAGGGTAGCAGGCAAAAAGTGCAGCCAACCCACTACATAAGTAGTTAAAAAAAGAAAAAAAGACAACACTGGGTCTCTTAGTAGTGCTGAGCATCGCCTTATCTTTTGCTAGTGCTTTCTTTTTCTTTTTCTTTTTTTTTAAGTTTTCTTTTTCTTTTTAAATAAAACATGAAAAGACATTACAATACACTTCTGATACACAACAGTGTTGTCAAGAACCTAATAGAGGCATGTTTTCTTTTTTGGGGGGGGAGTCTCATTCTGTCACCCAGGCTGGAGGGCAGTGGCACGCTCCTGGCCACCATTGCCTCGATCTGTGATCCTTCCGCCTCAGCCTTCCAACTGGCTGGAACTACAGGCATACGCCACCACCCCCGGCTAATTTTTTGATTTATTGTAGAGATGGGGTCTCACCAGGTTGCTGAGGCTGGTCTCAAGCCTGTGGGCTCAGGCAATCCTCTCACCTTGGTCTCCCAAAGTCCTGGGATTATAGGCATGAGCCATTGTACCAGGCCTAGAGGCATGTTTTCAAGGCAAATATGAATAGCATCCAGTTGGAACTTAGGGAAGCATTTAGACCTGCAGAAAGTAATCGTGAGAAATGGGCCTGCCCAGAGCTTACACTTTCAGCCCTCATGCCACACACAGCCAGTTTGGGAGTGACTGTAGGCCCCGTGGTATGATGCTGGCACAAAAGTCTGGATGGGAACAACCCACCTACTAAACACCCTCAACTGTGCTACCACACCAGATGCCAGTAGTCTACAACCTGTGATAGTGCCTTTTAACACACAAGTGTAAGGTGCACAGCATTAACTCCGAGGTCATACAGTGTTTATTGAAATTGTGCCGTTACTTTCTCTTTTCTAAATTGGATTAATCAATTATGTAACTCCAGTAAGTCTCTCCTATTTTATTTGCATCTATATTCTCAGAACTACAGCAAGGGAGGCTATAATCACACTCATAGACCCATCCTCCCAGTCTGGCAATTCTATAATTAAGGAAGAGCTATTTTTGTGTGGTGATAATACAATATTCATCATCTCAAAGCTGCTTTCAATGGCATGTGCCTCAGACTTCTGGACACATCATAATTTAATTAGTTAAATCACAAAACAATTGGTTTATCAACCTGGAGCAAAGAGCAAACATACACTCTTGCCTACAAGAACTCACATAGGTAAAACAAATAAAATTAACCTGGCCAAACTGTCAACCATGTCAGAACATAATGGAATACTCTGGAAACCTCAATGTATTGCTTAAAGTAGATTTCATCAGAAAGACAGCATTTTGTGAGTTCTGGAGAACGTTGATTAGAGGCCCTTGAATTGGAAATCCACTGGCGAGGCTGGTGAGTGCCCACGTCAAGCTGACCTGATTCATGTGTGATTTGGGGGACCACGATGAGTCTCCCCCTGGAGCAGAGCTGACACTCACGACACCCACTGCTTCAACTGCACAACAGGCTCTACAATGCCCCCAGATACTTATCAGGCTCAGGATAAATGCTCAGTTTTTAAGTCTCAAGAGATCAACCCAATTCCCCACCACTCTTGGTCCTGACAGAGTCTTAAAGTCTCTCTGCCTGCACCATTCTGCCTGCTGTTGCTGCCAGGCTGCACGCCACTGGTGACACTGGTCATGGTACACACCTAATAGGCTGACCTCCTTTCCCGACTAATTGCATTATATCGCCAGCTGGCTCCAGAAGGAGTCGTCTGTGTGATTGAAGAATTCCTGCTCCTCAGTGGGCCCGGCTGCTACTTTTACTAAGTAACAGTCAGGCCTGACATCCCCATTGTTCAGCTGACAGTGTGCCCATCCTAAAATCTAAGTTTTATTTGTAAATTAACCAAGAACTTCCTGCCAGAACAGCGCTGCCTGGAGACTGATAATGTGGGCCTTTCATCCCTTTCACTTGGACTGTAGCACTGCCAATTTGTTTTTTATGTGGCTGGCCAGCCTGAGGCTATAAAAGCCTTGTAAGACATAAGTGCAATTATAGTCCTGGAGTCAAATGAATTGAACAAATCCAATGGCACAGCTCTGTCCCCACTCTGCAAACCCCTACAGCAGTTAGATTAGCTGTGAAAAATCTAATCTAGCTAGAGCTAACAAATTTCTGCAGTGAAGGATCAAGAGTTCAGTATGGGGTTGCAACTGGATTACAGAATTGAAAAAGTCCCCCCATGACAGGGCAGAAGAGAGCAGGAATCACTTTAGAATTCTGCAGCTCATTTTTAAGCTGTTAGGGACAATTTAGTTAGAATAAGACAAGGAGCTGTGGGCTGCTGTTTCTGTGACTGATTTTTAGTCTAGCTGTGAGATATCCTGATAAAGAGAGTTTATCGCTAATGATGCTAAATCTTGAAACTGCAAAAGGTATCAGCTGAATTTTGATTATTACAGCAGGGAATCTTCCAACCAGGCCAGGCCTGGAGCATTATTTATGGCATGGCATTTTATCAAGAAAACATGCCTTGTCTCAAAAGAAACAAAAACCAATCCTACTTTACTTAAGAAATAAAATATTTTATATCTAGATCTATCTTTTAACAAAATCATTCTCAGTCATAAGAAAATCAGAGAAAATGGTGGCACATTTTCAGAGCAGCCACACTGTTCTACAAATAAAACAGACGTGCAAGCCCAGCTTGGTGTCTTGGTGAGCTACACCAGAGGCTCGGAGATGCCGGTCGCCCCTCGGGGCAGGTACCCCTCATGATGCACCCTGAAGCCGGGGCAGCCAACAAAACCTGATGGGAACTGGTACGTGGCCAGCGCCTGTGCCTGCCATGCTGCCACCCCCAGGAGGTCACAGGAGCATGCGGGGCTGGGTAGTGAAAGGCTGCTGATATTTTGAATGCAAATCATGCTTTGAACAGCTGAGATACTTGATCACTACAAAAGTTGTCTGTGCCTGGGCCGTGACTCGTGCTCTGGGGTCTCACGTGCACTGCTGCCTACCATGCACAGCATGCCTCAGAGATACTGACCTCTGGTTCCATATCACTACAATACAGTGAGTATTGCAATAAAGCAAGTCACACAAACTTTTTTGTGCTTTGGTTTCCCGGTACACACAAAAGTTCTATTTACACTATAGTCTATTAAATGTGTAATAGCACTATATCTACAAAAATGCATACACTTTAATTTTAAAAATATTTTATTGCTAAATTTGTTTGAGCCTTCGGGAGTTGTAACCTTTGTGCTGGTGGAGGCTTTGTCTTGCCTCAGTTGACAGTTGCTGACTGCTCACGATGGTGGTTGCTGAAGGGTAGGTTGGCTAGACAACTTCTTAAAGTAAGACAATATGATTTGCTCCATGGGTTGATGCTTTGTTTCATGAATGATTTCTCTGTAGCATGTGATGCTGTTTGATAGTATTTTACCCACAGGAGAACTTCTTTCAAGATTGAAGCCCATCCTCAAACTCTGCTGCTGCTTTACCAACTAAGTTTATGAACCATTCTAATCCTTTGTTGTCATTTCAGCAACATTCACTACTATCTGCATCAGGTGTAGATTCCATATCAAGAAACCAACCTCTTTGCTCACCCATGAAAGACAATTCCTCATCCATTCAAGTTTTATCATGAGATTGCAGCAACTTAGCCACATCTCCAGGCTCCACTTTTAATTCCAGTTCTCTCGCTGCTTCTGCCATGGCTGCAGTGACTTTGTCCACTGACGTCTTGAACACCTCAAAGTCAGCCATGAAGGTTGGAATCAATTTCTTCCCAACTACTGTTAATGTTGATATTTTGACCTCCTCTCATGAATCACAAATGTTCTTAATGACATCTAGAATAGTAAATCCTTTTTAGAAGGTTTTCAATGTACTTTGCCCAGATCCATCAGAGAAATCAATATGTACCACAGCTATAGCCCTACAAAATGTATTTCTTAAATAATAAGACTTCAAAATCAAAATTACTTCTTGATCCATGGGCTGCAGGGTGGATACTGTGCTAGCAGGCATGAAAATGACATTCAGCTCCTTATACCTCAAAATCAGAGCTCCTGGGTGACCAAGTGCATTGCCATGAGCAGTAATATGCTGAATTTTCTTTCTTATTTTTTTTCTGGGCAGTAGATCTCAACAGAGGGCTTTAAATCTTGAGTAATCCATACTATACGCAGATGTGCTATCATCCAGGCTTTTTTGTTCCATTTTTAGAGGATATGCAGAGTACATTTAACATAATTCTTAAGGGTCCTAGGATTTTTTGGATTGGTAAACATTGGCTTCAACTTAAAGTTGCCAGCTGCATTAGCCCCTAACAAGAGAGTCAGCCTCTCCTTTGAAGCTCTGAAGTCAGGAATTGACTTCTCCCCTCTAGTTATAACAGCCCTAGATGGCATCTTCTTCCAAAAGGCTATTTTGTCTATATTGAAAATCAGTTGCTTAGTGTAGCTGCCACCATCAGTGACCTCAGCCAGATCTCCTGGAGAACTTGCTGCAGCTTCTCCATCAGCCCTTGCTGCTTCACCAGCACTTTGAGGCTACAGAGACGGCTTCTTTCCTTAAAACTCATGAACCAACCTCTGCCAGCTTCCACGGTTTCTTCTGCAGCTTCCTCACCTCTCTCAATTTTGAAGGGAGTTGGGGCCTTGCTCAGAGTTAGGCTTTGGCCTAAAGGAATGTTGTGGTTGGTTTGATCTTCTAACCAGACCACTCAAACTTTCTCCATATCAGCAAGATGGCTGCTCTGCTTTCTTATTGTTTGTGTATTCACTTTTCATTTCCTACAAGAACTTTTCCTTTGCATTCACAACTTGGCTAACTGGCACAACAGGCCTAGTTCTTGGCCTGTGTTGGTTTTGATAGACCTTCTTTACTAAACTCAATCATTTCTAGTTTTTTATTTCAAGTGGGAGACATGCGGTTCTTCCTTCTATTTGAACACTTAGAGGCCACTGTGGGGGTATTAATGGGCCTAATTTCACCATTGTTGTGCTCTGGGAATAGTGAGGCCCAAGGAGTGGGAGACAGATAGGGAACAGCCGGTGGGGGGAGCAGTTAGAACACACGCAGCGTTTATTGACTCAGCTTGCCATCTTATGTGGGTGCAGTTTGAGGCACCCCAAGACAAATACAACAGCAACATCAAAGATCACTGATTACAGACCACCAGATCAGATTATAATAGTAACAATAATGATTGAAATATTGTGAAAATTACCAAAATGTGACAATTGAAATACTGTGAGAATTATCAAAACGTGACACCAAGACACAAAATGAGCACCTATTGTTGGAAAAATGGCGCTGACAGCCTTGCTTGATGCAGGGTTGTCACAAAACTTTAATTTGTAAAATACACAATGTCTGCAAAGTTCAATGAAACAAGGTGTGGCTGTACATAGTGCAGACATCTGTGGTTGCGGTGGTGGAAAAGCATAGCTGCAGACAAAGGAAGACTGCAGGTAGAGTGAGGCCCATCAACCGATGTAAAGCATCTGACTAATGGGCAGGAAGAAAGAACCAGTTAGGCCAATGGGCCATGAGAAGGTTAGTGGTTGGGGAGGATCCTACCACCACCATGCTAAGCAGTTGTATAGGGATGGCCTCACTTATTAATGGACAACCCTGTGACACAGGCTGTGTTTTAGGTCTTATTTAATAGATGGAAAACTGAGGCACAGACTGGTGAAATAATTGAACACACACTTGAGCCAAGGTCTGCCTTCTCCAGGGCCTGGCTACAACCACTATGTTAGACTTCCCAGTGGCCAGCCTGAGTGAACATCTGAGGTACTGTCCTCAGTCCTTCACCTCTGGGTGGTGGGAAGACAGTGGGATTCTGGGCTCTGCCACCTACTAGCAGGCCAGATGAGTGAAAATCCCAGTTACCCTGTGACTGACTGCTCATCTGGAAACTCACAGAAGAGGAGTGGACAACAGGCTTCCTTCCCAGACTCAAAGTTTCTGTTAAGATGCTCCTCACTGCTAACACAGCGTCTCTGAGGTGAGTATCCTGTAGGTGGGACAGTAAGGGCCATGTTCCTCTGAAGGGGTTTCCTCTGAGTACATGAGGTTTCCCCTGAGTACATGAGGTTTCCCTTGAAGTCTAAAGAAAACTGCCCACAGGGCAAGTTAAAAAATGAAAGGAAGCGTGATGGTGGGGCTGCTGGGCAGGGGCACACCTGCACCTGTTGCACTGACAGATGTCATCAAGTTGTCCACAGCAAGCCCGAGAGGAACCTGCTTTTCCAGAGCTCCACCAGCACAGGGTCATTACACCTCATGACCTTTGATAATCTGTGAAGTCAAAACTGCTATAATGTTCATGTGCAGGAAGGTCCAAAAGTAATGACGTGTAAGACTCTTCCTTTTCCTAAACCTTAATCTCAGGATTTAAGACTCAGAATGATTGACTGATTTTCATGTGTTTCTTTATCTGCCAAGCTGGATGTTTTAGCTCAACCACACCACAGCCTGAGGAAGTGACACAAATGTTGGAGCACAGAGGAAGTCGGTCTCAGTGTAGGCCAGGCCCGGTCTTTGTTCAGTCCCAAGAGGGCCTCACCTGCAAACCAGGGCCACCAAGAATGGTTCCCAGGAGGACCCTTACCTTTTTGGTGAGTGAATCATCTGAGTCTGATGGCATTCGCGTGGAAACGTGGAAAATCACTTCCACAGCCGAGGTGGCATAGTAAGGCGCAGTCTGCCCCGTGCTGCCATTGCGCTGAAGGCCACCCATGAACCCACAGTGGGTGGAGAGATCCACCTGACAGAGGTCAGAGGGGAAAAAGTCAGGGTCAGAAACAAGTGGCTCCTATACCAAGCAGGGCTGTGGATTAGCAAGAGGGAATCATGTTCACGTTGAGATCTTTCTTCCTGATTACAAACAAATGCAATAAAAAAGGCAGACAAGACTAAAATAGTAAAGAAACAAAGACCATTGCAAAGGAAAGTGCTCCATAATCCTACCAACTAAAGAAAACCATTGTCCAAAGTGTGGTTTTTGTTTCCCTTTTCCCTCTCCTACAAATGCATATATGGAAGTATGCTTGTATACATAGGCGTGCATGTGTACACACACAGGTTCCCTATAGCGGGGTTTGTGGGGTGCTCTGCTTTCTCAAACCAGAAGGAGCACTCTAAGATGCTGGCCAAGGGTTACAGATATTATACAACTTAGCAGCTGTTGCTAACATGTCTTTTGAAAGGGTTGTTTCCCTTTTCCCCAATGCTAAAAGTTAATGAGTCATAGTCTTTTTAAAGTTATGGTGTGAGTGTTCACTTCTCAGTCAGTGCCTTAATCCGAATTTTCTCCTTGTCATAGCTAGCATTCTTTCAGTAACACACATGGAACAAAAAAATAGAAGAATTTCTTCTGTGCCTGAATTAATGTCCTAATTTTTTCTCTCTCTAAATCAATGTTCTAGTATTTTCTTAAAACTCTAGTTGATATAGCATACCTTAAAAATATATTAGTTACATAATAAATATATTCTATGACAAATCAGAAGCAACCTTTTTAGTGAGAACAATGATTTCCTGGAAGTACAATAACTCTTTTAGACTCAAACCTACTTGACTTTTTGGAAAGCGTATAGTTTCAGCCTGGATGTACGTGTGCCCTGTCCCTATATTCCTCAGTTCTCTTGCTAGCACTGAGCTCTCAGTCATACCCAGAGAGTTTCCCATAGCACAGATAGCCAAAAACTGAAAACAAAAGTAGGAAAGTTATTTTAGATGAGTTTATTTCTATTTTAACTACTCTGAATTCTTTCAGGTTCTAGGAATATATTTTCCTTTAGATTTATGTTCCTGGGAGACAGATGTGTGTATATGTGTGTGTCTGTGTGGTGTGTATAAAAGTATATATGTCTGCATGTCAGAGTATTTTGTGAAAAAAAAAAATAAAGTTTTTCAATATCAGTCATCCTGGGATCTACTTTAGGGAAACAGCTCGACAGCTGAATCATCATGGCTATCATATTCTATTTTCACGGCAACTTGTGACTTCATCCAACTCTTTATCTTTTTTTTTTTTCTTTCTCTGTCTTTTCACCCATTAAGTCATTGGTTTTGCCAATCTCCATATTGTGGCCAAAGCTATTGCTTTTCTGCCCACATTTGCTTTCTCTTACTAGAAGCTGTCTATGGCTGGGAGAGCCCACTTGACTATTCAGTTCTGATAAAAAGCAAATGAATTAAGATTAAGAGAAAAGTTAAGGGGAAACAAAAGCTCATGTATAAAGTACTGAAAAACAACTAATAATCAATGCCAAATCCACTGAGTTCATCAGTTTCAGAACTCATGTTCTATGTGAATATAAAAACATATGTGATTACAAACACAATGTCTAGCGTGGACACATCTTTAAGTAGTACTGGTTGATAAAGAATCACCGAATGAAATTCATTACCTCCCATCCAAGTCCAGCGACAAAGTCTTCATATGCTTGGCTTCCTCTTTCATTGGAGAGGATGGAACACTTGTCTTCCTGACCTTCGGCGATGTAAAACACTGCGATTTTGTGTGTTTCACGACTGTAAATGTTTAAATTTAAAGGAGTTAGAATTCTTATATCTAAAATGTTACTTTACTACTACCACCATAATGACTCCCATTATGAAGCTGACATTTACTGAGAACTTACTAGGGGCCAGTTGCTGTTCTGTGATGGCTTAACACATGATCTCATTAACTCTTCACAACTGCTCTAATAGACGAGTGCTACCATCATCACTTCCCTTGCAGAGGTAGTTGAAAAGAGACATAGAAAGCCAAACAAAAAGCACATGCAGCAAGTAGGGGCCTAGGAACTGCAGCAATGTGGTCTGTTAAACCTCTGTCACACTGGCCAGAGATATAATGATATATCTGGATGTATTAGTAATGCATTTCTATAAATTACATCCTGGAGTAAAGTGACAAAATACCTAGACCTATACCAAGCAATTTGGCGACAGTTTAGAGATGAAAACATTGCTGTCATTCCAATAAAGTTTTAATCAAGAATCATTCATCCCATAGTCTAATCAAGAGTTTTTTTTTTTCCCCTAATGTTCGGATTACCATTCCAGAGAAGTTCCACCCTTCTTTTATTTGCAATACATTCTGAAAAATCTCACAGAAAAAACCAAGTGCTTAAACAATACAGAAATGATTCTATTGTCTAAACTAGTCATTTAATATCTCAACACCGTAATTCAATTAGACTCCATATTAGTGGAACCTGGGCTCCATATTTTAACAAATTCTCTAGTATTTCCTTCTACATGAATTATTACTCTACTTAATAAGCACAACTAATTAGCCCTTGACTAAAAAATTACATAAATCTATCATAATACTATAAGGAAGGAATTGGCAGTAGTAGGAAACTGCCAGGGGAGAGAGGGGCACATCTCATCAACAAGGGTACCTGCGTAATCAATATTTGTATACCTAACTCTGAATTGTACCCCACATCTTTGGGAAAAAAAGTTACATAAATCACTGGAGGAGGAGCATTTTCTTTTTCTATTCGTTTAGATAGCTTATCTATTCCCTCCATTGTTTATATATAATAGACATACTTGGAAGAAGAAATAGAAAATAAAGAAAAAGAAGAATATATCATCAACAATTTCATCATATAAGTAAATGAAACAGCTGTTACCATTTTCAGACACATTTTTGTACGCAAATATGAGAAGCTACTATATTCTGTTTTACAACTGATTTTTCCACTTAACATATTTGTAAATATCTTTTTTATTGTGGTAAAAGATACAGATCATAAAACTCACCATTTCAACATTTTTGAGTGTGAACATTTTTACACTGAGTGTTCATTCATGGTTGTACAACATTCTGTTATATTAATATACCATATCCCCAAAGCCTTATTTAGGTTGCTTCCATTCTGAGAGTCATTTCTACATTACCTTTAATACATCCTTAAAGATAGTCTTTAATCTTTTTAATCTTTTTGCAATGTCTCCAATAAGTCCTTCAAATAAATATGCATAAAATAAAGGTGCACCCTCATGCAGGAGGGAGCCTGGAAATGGCCACACTGTTCACTGCCCTGAGCAACAGGCAGGGAACACCAACAGGCTAGACTCTCATTTCCTTAAGCCAAGAGCTATGCAAATTTGGGGGCTCAGATGATAACAGGAATCATAACCTATGACCTCAAAGACTGTCTCTTTCAACAAAAGGAGAAATAAGCCTAGTTACTCAGTTTCTACCTGCAGCTTTCTCTACTATTTAAACATCTTCAGGATTTAATTTTTCTTTGTTTTATAGACTTTACATACATAAAGACAATCTCATGTTTATCTGAAATGTTTCTGTTTATTCTCCTTCAAGTCTGAGCCTTTTCCATTGCAGCTGCTCGGAGGTCCTTGAACCCTCATTAACTCAGTGTAGAAGCACAAGAGAGCTAAGCCCAGATGAAGACCGATGGATGGAGTTGTGAGCAAAGATGACCTTTAGTTGTAAACGTTCATAAAATTTCACATACTCCAAAATGCTAGTGCCTCAGAGAGCCTGCTAGGATGCAGAAGCTGTGTCTGGCCTTATTTGAGTCAGGCTTTTGAAATGGTAATTAGCAACATCATCAGCACTTCACAGCCACAAGAAGCACAACCAGTGCATGGAGGAGCAGGTAATTCAGGAACACATATTGGAACATCAACAATTTCCCTTCCTCATTAGAATGCATTTTTCTTTCTTAGTAGGAATAGACCAGGATAGCTCTGCTTCCTTGTACTGTCACATTAAAAGCCAAACAAAGAAAAACATGATTTTAGCATCCACCTCCCAATGTGGAGGCAAGAGACATTTATGTTCAAAAGGGGAGCCTACTGCAATTTGTATGTATGTTCATCATAGTGTTTACATGTTTCTAACTTCACAGTATACAGACCACAGTTGCAAGACAATCTCTACTTTTCCAAAGGGCATGTTAAGAAGGAAATACGCATCAAAAGCTGTGAGATAAACTGATATCAGAAACAGAAATGTCCTAACTGGAAGCTGGGGACAAAGTATTTTATTTCCTGCCACCTGACCGATACACCAGTCTAGATTTCTCAGAGCTGAAGAGTCTCGGAGTTATTTCCAGTTTCTTCAAAAAAGAACCTTGAAAATGCCCTTCATCATAAAATAAGTTGATGCCCTTTCGATGTCAAGAGGACACTACATCCAGGAGTTGGGGGTTTAAATGAAGGTTAATCAAGGGGCAGAGGATTGCCAATCAGCTATTCAAAGCCATATTTTACTGCAACAGCACCCCAGGGAGCTAATTCAATTGTACCCCATGCAACTAAAGTGCATTAGCGCTCATCAAATTGGCCATGATTTCAAGATACTAAGTATTCACTGAATAGTAAGAAGCATAGAATAATTCAGCATATGCATGGAAAACTGAGTTTGGAACCCAAATGACTACTTGTTTAATACTGAAGGGCAGGAGAGGGAGGGAAGCGAATCCCTGAGTTCTTCAGAAACGATTCCTCTCAGAATTTCCAGAGAACTTGGTCTCTGTTCCTACAGAGAAAAAGAGTCACAGCAACATTCGGGAAACTGAATTAGGCAAAGAGGGGATAAGAACTAGGCTACAGGCTTTCTTTTTGCTTGCTTAATTATCTCTAATGAGTTTTAAAAAATTATTTAAAGTCAGATCTTTTACTCTGAGTTCTGCTTGATGAATCACGAAATCAAGAAATTAAAAAGGCAATGGAGCTGCAGGCTTCTGGCTGGAGGCAGGGCCTTTGCCCAGGTGTAACCACAAATGAACATTTTAATTCTGTATATTTATTTTTTTAAAATCCTGTATATTTCTTGATATTAAAATACTTACTACCCTCCAGAAATAGTAAAGCCACCTAGAAGAAAAGGCCCTCACACCCCCTTCTGCAGAGGGATTCTCAGGTTTAGAATAGCCATCCTGGCTCACTCCATGAACAGAAAATGTACATGAAGCAGTCCATGTGTCACCATGTATGTACATACAGGAGCAATTCATGCCTCTCCATGTGTGTAGCTACAGGAGCAGCTTATGCCTCAACATGTGTGTAGATACAAGAGCCACTCATGCCTCACCATGTGTGACTTGGGAGATAGGTGGAAGGTAGAAAAATAGAGAAGAGAAAAAGAAAAAGGAGAAGGAAAGGGAACGTACACCCCTCTCATTCCCATATGCTGGTCAACACAAACAAATCCATCTTAATACTAATGCTTCTGAAGGGCTGCAAGGGCATACAGCTAAAGTTTAATATAACTTTATCTGCTTGGTCCTCAGGGACATTAGAAGATGACCTTTAAAAAAGTCACCTTTCAAGTATTTAAGAGAAAATTCCAACTGAAGTTTACTAGTTATTGGGCTTACATTCAATTCAAGAATTCAAACTACCCAAGAGAATCCTAGGTTTAAAGGTGATATGCAAATAATAGTGATGTGAACCAAGAGTTTCCTTGAAAATAAAATTTAAGCATGTTAGCTTTGATAAAAACTCTAAAGTAAACAGCAAAAACCACAGCGAATCCACTAAACACATGACAGTGAAAACCTTTGCTCAGCAGTCATAACTGGTCACTGTAAGTGCCAAGCAGGGGAACCTCAGGCCTTGAAGGGGAAGAATGACAGTGATTGAATGAATGATTGAATTAATGTAATGAAGTGCTCTAATGGTTTCCTCAGGTGCCAGGTTAGGGCTCAGCAATATAGAGCAGAGCTCTGTCACTTCTTTTCTTCCTTCTTGCTTCCACAACCAGCACCTGCACCACCCTCTAAAAACATCTAGCTCAAATATATTTAAAAATTTGTGAGTTAAGAAAAAGTAAGAAAAGTGTAGTGAATAAAATACAGTGTGAAGAGTTAGAAATAAACTTGAGGAAAACCATCTAACTTTTTAATTTGAGAGCTGATGGAATATTAGAATATGCTTAAGGGGAACAAACCTTTTTTTTCATGAGTTTTTTTTTAAACTAAAGATCAAGGAAGCAGTTTATTCTTCTTGAGACTTTGAGGCACCTGTAATGTACCAAGTACTGCACTTATTGTTGACTTAGATGGTTTTAGAAGCATACATTCCCTCATATCAAAAATGTTTCATGGTTGTGAGCCCATCTTTAGAAATGCTTCTGAGAGGGTACAGAGGAGGGCTAGATCTGAGAACTCTATCAGCTTTAGAGTATCCATGGAGAGTTACTCATGACAGTACATGAGTTTTAACCTTTCCAACACTATAATGCCACAACTACAGAATGCCAGTGCATTGGCACACAGCATGGACCCAGAAGTCAGACTCACTCATTGTCAAACAGTGTGGTAGCAGTAACCATGGGCTGTTTCACCTAGGTAAACCATGTTCCCCCATCCAAAGAAGAGGTGGCTGCAGAGATGGAATGAGAATACCTGTTTACTGGTGCCACACAGAAAGGCACTAACCTCTTTCCAGTGTGTTAAACATGAAAATGTATTTCTCAAGAGTAGGTGTGGCATGCACAGATATCACCAGATCCTAGGCTACAAAGCTACCCTCGGATGCCTCTGAGGTGTATTCATTCCTTCAGCTGTCTCTTTAATCCCAGCGCACCCAAAGACAAACAGGTTTGAATAAACTTTCACATACCACTGACGGGAGTCCAGGTTTTTTAGTTCTCTCAATAATTTTGAATTTTTCTTCAACAGATGAAAATTCTTCCTATAAAAAAAGATGGGGGAAAAATTATAGGATCACATATCAATTTTGCTGTTTTTCAGTCAATTAACAAATCCACCCTATCAACCATCTATCTCCTACCTCACTCACAAAAGATTTGTGATAGAAACCTACAGAATGAACTCTATTCTCCCTAAGACCGGTAAAGGCGTACAAGTTCCACTGCATCCTGTTACTCTCTAGTACCGTGGATGGCTCCGTGGTCAGTTGAGTGCATGACTTGCGTGCATGTGCTTGTTTCTGTTTTCACTGTCAGCTCTGCTGTGAATCTTTTTCACCCACTTCTGGCCTTAAGACCTCCACCCCACTCTCAAGGTCCAGCTCAAATCCACTCCCTTCCACAAAGTCTTTTCTACTGCCCCAAACTTCTTACTGGATTTAATGGTTACTCTTGAACTCTGTGTCACTCTATCCTTCCTCAGAATTGTATCAAGTCTGCCTCCCTCATTAGACCTAAGGTTAGATTGTGGCTTATCCACTTTTGTAGTCCATTTGCATCTTGCATGAAAGTAGAAACAATAATAGACACAGCAGCAATTTAAACACACACACATCACACACACACACACACACACACACACACATACACACACACACACACACACAGAAAATGCTTGATATCCTTTGAAATACCTGACAGAAGTTTGGAATTCAATCTATATACTAATGCAGCACAACTAGTTTCACTTCTAGCTTTAGTTTAGCAGCAAAAAATAAGCTGCAAGCGTTGAAAAAGCAAAAAATCTCCATCTCTATTCTCTTGTTCTCCAGCCCCAAATTGATAGGAGGAACAATCGCACACAAAAATAATGATAACATCACTGAAAGCCGGTATGGTGTGGACTGTTACCTCTTGTCCCAAGAATTCATTCCCAGATCATCGAGCAACAGTCTACAGAAGTAGAAGGGCCCCTGGGGGTCTACTGGTGCGGGCTGCCCCTGGCTGGTAACCTTCAATGCAGAGTCAGAGTGACACTTCTGGACATGCTCCTCTTCCTGAGAGTTTTGGTGCAAAATGACCTCAATGATTTCCTTCTCTTGGTCACAGTTCATTCCACAGGGGGGTGGCGAAGGCTCATTTAGATTTAGCTGTGATGGTAAAAGGCATTCAGGACTTGCATGGCCAATACTCTCAAGCAATTTGTCAAGGACATCATCTCCTTCCTCAGTTTGAGAAGAATCTTTCTGAGGTCCAAGTGTGTGAGGGTGCCAGCTCGAAACCAGAAATGAAGGGCTTCTCCCACTGGGTGCTAAGCAGCCTTCTAAAGGCCCATACAAAACCTTGCCATCCCAAGAGTACTTCCCTGAGATATCTCTCACAATCACCCTCACATCAGAGAGGGCGCCCACCGGTGACCTGCCAGCTGGTCCTTCTGCGGGCATCTGAAGGTAGGAGATGAGGGTGCTGTCATTAAACACAAACAGCTGCAGGTTTGGGCTCTTGAACACCTCAGAGGACAGCTCGGAGCCTTCCACGTGGGCGTTGTCGTGGTTCTCGCTCACAAGGCTGTGCAGCATGGCGGGTCCCCCACTGAGGGGATAGTGCCCCAGGTGGTTCACCAGGTGGGCCATCACCATGCGAGCAGTCAGAGGGATCAACTCCAAGCTTCTTCTCTTCTTCTCTGGGGACAGCAGTAAAGAAATGTAAAGAGTCAGGGCCAATGAAGGTGAAAGCTGGACACCACCAGGTTGCACGTCCTGTCCTCAGCATGGGGACTTTTTTCACCTGTTTTCCTTTTTTGATACTAATTCTATTTGAATCTACAAGCACCATTTAAATAGATTGCTAAAAGAACCAACTTACATGAAGATGTCATTCTGAAAGAGACATCCAGAAATTGGTAGATATAGCAGTAAGCAAAAGAGGAATGTGTGTGTCCTGAAAGAGCCAGGACAGAGGGCTCCGGTGAGAACCAAATCCAAAGTCAGAGGGCAGCAGGATTAGGGAGTAGACCAGAGAAGTTACCTTAGCTCCCCTCAGTAGTTAAAGGAAGACCTGATGAAAAAATGATTCAAGCCTGTGACTGCTTAAATATATTTGAAGCAATTTGCTTAATAATCACTGTGATAATTTATGTTTTGTTGCTAGGGCATTTTAAATATTTAAGAGGATGTGACATATTAATAATTCATGGAAATATTTAGAAGGCTTTAACTAAATTTATAGTTGATGACAAATGCCCAAGAGCAAGTGATTTGCAAAATTTTTAATACTTAAAATGTATGGAAAGCCTTTGACAACAGTGTGTGTAAGTGGGTCTTGTAAAATAAGATGTAAGGAAGAAGCAGATAAACTAGGTCCCAAAGTATGGATTGGAATGAGCATGCAAGCTTGAAAGCAGTTAGGGAAATTTTAATCTGACAAATTTATTTTTATTTTATTTATTTATTTATTTATTTATTTATTTGAGTTGGAGTCTCACTCTGTCACCCAGACTGGAGTGCAGTGGCCGCTCCCGGCCACCGCAGCCTCCACCTGCTGGGCTCCGGTGATCCTTCCGCCTCAACCTTCCGAATAGCTAGAATTACAGGTGCGTGCTACCACACCCGGCTAATTTTTTTTTTATTTATTGTAGAGATGAGGTCTTGCCTGCCCAGGCTGGTCTCGAACCCACGGGCTCAAGCAATCCACTCACCTCAGCCTCCCAAAGGCGCGGGATTACAGGCTGAGCCACCGAGCCTGGCTAATTGACAAATTTATAAAAGCATTATGCACTAATCTAAGAACAAGTGCAAATGAAACCTTTTAATTTTAACCAAAAAAAAAATCACTAGATAGTTTAGATAAACTAAGATTTATAATTTGAAGTCACTATATATTTTAAATAAACTAAGATTTATACTTTGAACTTAAAACTTCAGGAAATACCCAGTTCTAAATTCACAACATGAAAAACCAAATATTAATTAAAACAAAAATAACTGTAAATATCCTTTCTCATGCTAAACATCCTCCCCCTTAGACATGAAATATCCTTTTTTTTTTTGAGTTAGAGTCTCACTCTGTCGCCCAGACTGGAGTGCAGTGGCCGCTCCCGGCCACCACAGCCTCGACCTGCTGGACTCCGGCAATCCCTCCGCCTCAGCCTTCCAAGTAGCCAGAATTACAGGCATGCGCTACCATGCCCGGTTGATTTTTTGATTTATTGTAGAGATGAGGTCTCGCTGCCCAGTCGAACCCACGGGCTCAGGCAATCCACTCACCTCAGCATCCCAAAGGTGTGGGATTACAGGCTGAGCCACCGAGCCTGGCTATGAAATATCCTTTTTATGACTTATTTATAAATAACACATCAGTTTGATGATGTGTAAACCCTAGAAAGAAACAATGAAATCCTGGAATCAAGGATATTCTGTGTTATAACTGAGCAGAACAAGATGTCCTGAGTTTTCTTGGATTTCTTAATAGTCTTTTCAATGAACAAGAAATCATCTGCACTCAATAATACAGAATAAAATTTTGTATCAAAAACTCAGTCTTTAGAAGCAAAGGAGGTCACATATATGTGTCTCTGAAATTAAACTCCCACTCCCAATCCCAGGAAATGCATGCATGATTTCCACAGAATTAAGAGATGTCACGCCCCAAACAGCACTGAGGAGCAAGCAGGGAGCTGGTGAGTTCCTAACGTGAAGCACTTCACAGTGACGGCAGGCAGAGTAGGCAATGCAACTCCAACGGTAAAGGTCCTGTTTGATAAAGGCCCGGAGCAGAAAATAACATGTAGAAATTCAACTTTCCTGTACTCTTGCTCACACAGGTTGTGCTTTCAATCTGCATAATTATGAAGGAGTGCTTTATGAACATGTTTGAATTTCAAGGTAGGAAGCTGACCTGGACTTAACACTAACCAAATCCTAAGCCATGACACACCCAACGCAAACGCAACACACCTCTGTTCCTGAAAAGTTAGGAAAAGGAATCCTAGACCTTCTCTGGCAAACTGCTTTACTTAACTCCCCATGGGTTTCCTGAAACATAAAATCTGTACTCCATTAATGAAAACACAAACTTGTGACTTCCATAAACTATTAAAAAGTCGATTCCAAATACCTTTATTTCTTTTGTTCTAAATTTACAGATGAGATTTGAAAGCAGCAAGACTGGCCTTTAAGTGTGCTTTGTAAGAGCTCCCTGCCCACTCCCCAGGTTTTGGCAGTTGGGTACTATGATGACTGGGGTGTGTGGGCCTATCACCAGTGGCCCTGCTCTGAGCCAGGTCAACAGCCACCTTGGCTGCAGGTAGGTGAGCATGTCTCTTGCTTGAAACTATATTTGAACATAGTAATTATGCCAAATGGTAGCAACGGTCTATGAGAGGATCACTGAAAATAATAGATAAAAACATAATATTGTGCATCAAAAGCATGACCTGACTAGAAATAGTGTTGTGATGGATGATGAATGAAACACTGAACACATCTTGTTTAACCTAAAATATCTAAGCTACCACCTTTATTTTTATCTACTTAGCAAGAGTGTGAGCATACCAATATGTCTTTGAGCTCCTTGCCAATTTACTAAGTTAACATGTTAGTGAATTTTGAAAACTCCTTTGTCATAGAAGTTTAAGCAATTATTTTTAGTACTTTAGAACTATGCTGGGAACATTTGCATAAGGTCCTGAGGTTTTCTGGAGAAAAATATTCCAGTCAAAGAGTGTTATACATCAAAAGAACAATGGCATCAACATTTAAACATGCATTTTAGGTTTTTATTTTTTCACTAACCTATTTATCTTCTGCTATTTTCAAGTGACAAGTCATAATAACTACTTGAGCCTACTTTAGGGATAGCCAAGTGGGCTGAGTCTAAGTTAATGACTTTGGGAAACTGTGAGTTAATGTTTTTTTTTAGTTAATTTTCTTATAACACTTAGGGATTTATAGTAAGAAACAACAAAAGAAGTAGATCAAGAGTTATTTCGAGGACTTCATAAAAATTTGGTTTGAATTTCCAACTGTGGAAAAAGTCAAGAAGATATTGCATTTAACAGACAGTGAAGCTCCAGGAAAAAAACCAAATGATTCCATAAATGGAGGGTAACCCAAGAGGATGACATAAAAAAGCCACACACCACCTACTACCAACACAACTCAAAACAAGAGTCTACGGTCACATCTCAGCACAGACAATATATTTCAGGAGCTTGGTCATTACATCTTAAGCTCAGATTCTGCCTCCATTATTTCTGGCTTGAACACCCCTGGGAAAATCCCTTAACCTCAAGTTGCTCAACTACAAAATGGAGCCAAAACTAGGAGTGCCAGATTTCAAGTCCTTTCTTCTGACTGGCATGCCCACTCTGTCTTTTCCACTTGCATCTCATCTCCTCTTCATCTCAACCTGACCCGCACTCCAGACCCTGCATTCCCACAAGCACACTCTGCCCCCTGTGCCCTCACCTGGCCACAGCCTGTGTGCTTCCTCCCTGCACCAAAGGCCCCACAGAGGGGTCTATCTTGGGGTTCTGAGTGGTTACCGCACACGCCATCTGGATATACCAAACATCTGCTAAAAGTGCTCTGGCAAAAGTTGCCACCCAATTCCTGGCTGGGAAATAATGCAGCTCCTGTTCTCTCACCTTCCTGAGCTTCCTGAAGTAACCGGTATTACTGACCTCCCTCAGTCCCTCCCTGCTGTCTTCCTGGACTTCCCAGAAATGGCAGGTTTCCTGGTGACAGTCTCTCATTACCTTTTCCTTAAGGATGCTTTTGCCCCCAAGTTTCCATTCTTGGGTCTGGGTTTTTAACTTGCAAAGTCCATAAATTTTTTCCAGGTGATCTAACACTCCACATTCACATTTTTTTTTAACTTAATTTTGAGACAACCGAAGATTCACTTATAGTTATAAGAAATAATACAGAGATCTCAAATACCCTGCATCTCAGTGGTAACATCTTGCATACCTGCAGCACAATATCACAATCAGGAAACTGGCACTGATACACTCAAGCTTTGCCATTCAGTGTTCACCAATTTTTCATGCATGCATGCGTGTGTGTGTGTGTGTGTGTGTGTGTGTGTGTTTGTTTCTATGCAATTTTATCCTATGTATAGATGACATACCCACACTTGGACTCACATTTTAAGGCCCCAAGTTGGACTGCTACTATTCTGGGGAGACAGAATAAGGAGGAAGCATAGCATCCTGATAAGACCAATATACCCTAATGTACAAGCAGAGCAATCCTAAACTGTGGCAAGTAAATCTCATCTCCTCCAGGACACTCTCCTGTCTGGAACACTCCATGTGTCCCTTTTAAAACCTCCCATCCTGCCACATCTGGCTTAAGTCCTGCTCCATGGGAAGTCACCATGGTGCTATTGGCCCACACATGAGTCCCTATGGATTCATTCTGTCTCTCCCATTAGGCGCAAAACTCCAAGGGGATGGAAAAGGAGCCATTTTTGTGATACCCATGGGTCTGGGACATATAGGTCCTCAATAATATAAAAAACATTTGAATAATTAAGATGGAGCAAAAAGAAAAGAGGAGGAAAAACAGAAAAAAAAAAAAAAAGTAAAAGAAACAAGGAAGGCAGAATGTTGCATTATAGAGGACTCCAGGAAACAGGATTTCAACAAGTAGATTTTCAAAAAATTACACAGCAAGCATGAACAAAAGGCTACTACATCTTTCCTCTTCCTATGCACAGGATTTAGAAGAATGCTCACCTTCTTCAACAGTCAGCAGGTTACCCAGTTCTGCTGATGACTGACACTGGACTGGCTCAGAACACTTCACATTTGCCAGTGGCAGGAAGGGGTCATAATCCGTGGATGACAAGTCAGCCAGGGTCAGCGTGTAGTGACTCTGTTGTGTATATGTGCTTGAGCCACACACGCAGCAATGCAGAACCTGTGGAAGCAGAATGGAATGTGCACCAGGCTGCCACCCACTGCCTGTCCCCAGATAGTCTGTAAGTACCACAGCACTTCAGAGCAGGGACACCTCCTTAGAAAGACTTGAAACTCGGTCCCTTCCACTCTTCGATACCTTCTTGCTATGAGCAAGTTTTTTGCTCCTTTCCCATTAGTGCCAGTAAGCATATTCTCAAGGCCAAAGTTAAAAAATGTTTATTTTGCCATTCTGTGTGATTGTACACTGAGTCCTCCTCCAGCCCACCAAAGGTGACACAGGAAGAAAGAGCTAAATCAGGAGATGGAGTGTTGGTGGGACAAGTCACCCTTAGTGAAGGGTGAACGAGCACCCTAGCAGAGGCCACCAGCACACTCTGGGACCAATCAGGAGTTTAAACTAGCATAACTCACAGACCCATGAACTGTGAGGGCTAACTTAACACAATTTGCATACTGATTTTTGCAAAATTGATTTCTGGAAAGTTCATGGGTTGTTTACAAATTGCAGTTGCTTAAGTTCGATCCACTTGTTGGTGCTTTTGTGCTCACATAAGCCCTGCAAACGCAAATCACCCTGAACATGGTGAAATATATGAATGAGGTAATAATTATCATAAGTTTTGCTTTTAAATCATAAATTCAAAAAGCTGACTTTTATAAAAACCAAGGTAGTACTTTAAAACAAAGGAAATATCTGTGGGCTAAACACATGTATGTCAAGTCCCTAATAAATGGCTAGCTTTGGTTTGCTCCCATGGCAGAAGGCCATGTGGTCAGGTACCCTTTGCACACAGCTAAAAAGTACCAAGAACTGTAGTTGGCAGAGGGCTGCTCCCTGAATGTGTCCTTTTCCTGGCAAAAAAGCAGTACAGGAAAATCCTATGGTGGCTCTCTTATTAATGTAAAAACTGAGCTTCTGTCATTGAGAGAGTTGATTTTTACTGTCAAAATGCAATAAATATAAGATACGCAAATTAAAACACAATACAATGCCACGACATACCTACTCCATAGCGCCAAGTATTAGCAAGAATATAGAACAGTGGCAGCTCTCAGACACTGCTGGTGACAGTGACACCACTTAGGCAAAACACACATGTCCCAGCAGCTCCACTCCTAGGTGTACACTCAACAGAAATGCATTCACATGTATATCAAAAAAGTACTGGAATGTTCACATTCTTCTGGTCTAAAACTCTAAACTACCCAAGTATCTACCAACAGTAAAATGGATAAATAAATTGTGGTTTATTCTTACTGTGTAATACTATACAGCAATGAGAGTGAAAAATCTATAACCATGCACAACATTATGAATAAACTGCTCAAAAATAATGTAGAGTGAAGATGGCAGACTGAAGAGGACATACTGTATGATTCCATTTGTATAAAGTTCAAAAACGGGCAAAACTAATCTAAGCTGTTAGACAGGACAGTGGTTGCCCCTGGGTGTGTGAATGGATAAGTAACCAGGAGAAGGTACAGTGAGGGCTTCCAGGATGTTGGGAATGTTGCTTCTGGATCTGGGCTCTGATTTTACAGGTGTGGGTACTTTGTAAATCTTGATCCCAAGCTCTCACTTGATGGATTTTATTAAAGCATAATATGCTAGAAGCATATTATATTGAAGCATTTTATATTTCAATAAAAACTCTACTTTAAAAATATAATGAGGAGTTGTTCAATAACTGAGTCATGTTTACTATGATTATTAAAAAAAGGAAGAAACAGGTCAGAAAAGAGATGAAAATAAGCGACTGTGGCTAATTTAGCGGGCCTAAGCCAAGCATCACACAGGTTTATAAGCCACAAAAATACAAAAGTATCTAATTAATCCTAACATAGTTATTAAAATCCTTGCTCACTAGAGAAACTATTTAAAAATACACAATACTTTTTACTAGAATTGGAACAATGCTTACATTTAAAAAAAATTAATACATTTAAAAATAAAGCAACAAAGTAATCAGTTTATCACTTGGGAGTCATTTTTAATGATTAAAAGTTACTAAAAAAAATGCTGTTAACAGTGGTTCATGTTTATAATTCCAGCATTTTGGGAGGTCAAGGAGGGAGGAGTGTTGGATTCCAGGAGTTCTAGACCAGCCTGGATGACATAGTAAGACCTCGTGTCTATAAAAAATTTTAAAAATTAGATGAGTGTGGTGGCACACACCTGTAGTCCCAGCTCCTGGGGGCTGAGGTAGAAGGATTGTCTGAGCCTAGGAAGTCGAGGCCGCAGTAAGTTATAAGATTGTGCCACTATACTCCAACCTGAGCAACAGAGCAGGACTCTAATTTTAATAAATAAATAGAAAAGACAAAAGAAACAAGATCTGGTGTTTGATAGACCCAGTTGGGTGACTACAGTTAACATCAGTCAATTATACAATTCAAAATAGCTAGAAGAGAATAATTTGAATGCTCTTAGCATAAAGAAGAGAGAAACACTTAAAGTAATGAATATCCCAATTACCCTGTTTGAGTATATACATTTAAAAATTATCATAGTACCCTGAAAATATGTATATCTAATACCAGGGTGCCAAAAAGATGTATACACATTCACTCAAAAGATGGTGTTAATCAAATGGATGCTAGCATCATTGTGTGACAGACAGGACAGTAGAATTGGCCAATACAACCATCTACCAAGTTTGACTTGTTATCTGCATATAGTGAATATTAAAATTTTAATACAGTTTTTCTCCTTTCTTAAAATGTGTATACTTCTTTTGGCACTCCGGTAATTTATCAGTAAGATAAATTAATTTTTTTTTTAAAGAGGCTATTTGCCCTAGGGAAAAAACACCTAATACTGCAGATATTTCTGGAATATAAAGAGTTCTTTCTTAGGTAGACATAGACCATGTTCCATGAAGATTGGGGGATTCTGACCAAATTGCAATTGTTTACAGACCAAAGATAATGGACTTGTAAAAATATATGCATCTCTAATGTGGTAACCACTGCTTCTCTACAATCATCTTTGTTCTGCTTTCAGTCCTTCAGTTACTCATTTCTTAAAAAATATTTAACCCACACAAATCATTTTCAAAAGGGCGCAGGGAGATAAGTAAGCGTGGAATGCCTATCTCGGTCATTCTCTGACATGTAAAGCCCACTCACACGTAAGGCCCGTGGGACTCACTCGGTAGATGTAATCCAGCAGGGGGGCCCTGCCCGAGTGCTGCTCCTCCAGGGCCGCTGTGGACACAGGGTGGAGAAGGGTGCTCACAGGCAGTGCCATGCACCAGTCCAAGAGGCAGAGGAGCAGGGACACGATGAACTGGAAAAAGAACACGCACGGTCACTTGGCTGCAGTCCCGCAAACCTACTGCCAGGAATCGCCAGCAAGGAAGCGGTCCCTGCATATGGTGATGACTCAGTGGACACATATGTGCAAGGTAGGCAAGTAAAATAAATCGTGTTTCACAGAAAGACTGCTGAGGCCAAGGCAGAAGGGTATTATAAAGGGCATCACTCCTAGTAATATTATTTGTCACTCTTACATTTAAAAAATCACAAGCTTTAGGGAAAACTTAGCAAACGCACTACTCACCTTCTTATCTGTTTCCATGGAGGAGTACTCTGCACTTGGTAAAAGAAACGCGATCGTGGCCACGAGGATCTGCATAAAAGACAAATCCCCCAGTCACACAGACCATAGTCAGAGCTCTGGAGCCTAAAAGTCCCAGGATGGCCTTGCAACTACACTCAGCTTGGTGCCAACTCACCACAGGAAGGCAACAGAAAGTCAAGGGCTGGCTGTGTGTGTGATCCTGGAAACTAGGAGAAGCACAGGGGTCATGCCTGTTGCCACTCCACTCTATTGATGGGGGAACTGGGGGACCAGATAAAGGAATGTTCTACACTGTGGTCACACAATTTCCATCATCAGTCTCCACACATCTCACAGTTAAGTCAAAAAATACTTTCACATACAATTATGAAAATACTCCCATTTAATTTCCCTACAAATCATCTCAGTTCTCCACCCACTGTCCTAGTGGAACAGGACCCCCTTCATTTTCAAAACTATTCCTGTTAAGATGATAAATTATATGGCCACCCTAAAACCCTATTTCACATTTTGTAGCATTCTGATTTTCTATGTCCCAAACTCTATTTCACCCCAGGTCACTTAAGGTCAAAAATCACTTGTGACTTTGGATGTGTCTCGGAGAGAACAGAGTGATCTTTCCAATGAAATCTGTCTAGGGCTGAGAGAAAACAAATCAGTGTTGCCTCTTCTCTCCATGTAACACCACACGGGGACAAAACACATTTTCTTGAAGACATATCACTGGATGTATAAAGAACAAGGCATGTTTTTAAAAGTGCAGCTAAAAAAATCGGCAGGAATGGATGTGCCTTGCCACCAGACACCCACAGGAGTAAGGGGGCGTGCTCATGTGCAGGCAGAGGACACTTGAATGTCACTGACCCTCCAGGATGTTATTGTTGGGATGACTCTTCCTGCTCCCTCTGTCCCGCTCTCCCACTGATTGCCTCCCACCCCAGAGGTTATTACAGCAGTAATCTCATTACAGTCAGGCAGTCAGAAAGTGTAGGCCAGGCTTCAGGCTGGGAGAGACTAGGGCTTTACAATAGCCACCCCTCCGCCACGCACCAGGGGCATCATAACCAGCTGCCTACTCCTTGTTGGCACCATCCAAATTGCTTTTGATGAACGAACCCTGATCTACAAAAGGCCTCTTTGTTGTGGCCATATCTGCCTTTCAAAATTCCCCAAGTCTAAGCCTCTTCCCGGAACACGCATGGCTTCTTTACGTGGTACTGAAATCACAGTTGAGAAGGGCCAGTCCAACTTAATCTTTTTTTTTTTTTTTTTTGAGTTGGAGTCTCACTCTGTTGCTCAGGTTGGAGAGCAGTTGCACGCTCACGGCCACCCCAGCATCGACTTCTGCCTCAGCGATCCTTCTGCCTCAGCCTTCCAAGTAGCTGGAACTGTAGGCGCATGCTACCAAGTCCGGCTATTTTTTTAAAAAGTTTACTGTAGAGACAAGGTTCCCTGGGCTGGTCTCGAACCCGAAGGCTCAAGCAATCCACTCACCTCGGCCTCCCAAAGTGCTGGGATTACAGTCTGAGCCACTGAGCCCGGCCCCAACTTAATCGTTTATTATTATTATTATTATTATTATTATTTTTAAATTTTTTTCCAACTTAATCTTAAAACCAGCAACTCATGTGCCAATATAACAGTTGGATCTCTATTATTTGGGTATCTATAATTAATTAAATATCTAATACAATCATAAGGAAATACTTATGCTTTAGCATTACAAAAAAAGAAAAAAAAAGACTTACTTCTGCCATTTTCCGAGGCAGAGAGGTTTCAAACATCTGAAGCTTTTCCCAGTAGGAAACCAGCAACTGAAGAATATCACATGCAACCTGAGCTACGATTTTGTTAGGAAACTATAAAAGGAAACAAAATCCCCAAGTCAATACACAGCTTAATAGGTATATTATTCCTAAGGAAGAACAAAAGAGTAATTTCTTCCCAGTTCCATGTAGATTACATTTATTTGTTTTGCATTAAATTGATGAAAAATATATCCTATTGCCAGAGAGTTTGTACATAACCACACCACCATTCTATAACTGCTTCTTGTCTAGCCTAGTTGTGTTAATTTACATAACGTTCTATAGAAACAAGTAGGTATCATTAAACCACTTGAAAATTAAAACTATCATTTCACAATTTCATAATTTCTTTATACAGCTCACATAAATCATATTTTTGACAACTAGAGCAAATTAAAATGTAGTACAGATTATTGAATATCTCCTGTATGTTGATACTTTTACAAGAATCTTACTCATTCTCTCATTGATAAATCTTCACTGACAGCTCTGCAGAGTAGATGTTATTTTCATTGATAAGAAACAGGGACTTATCAAATGACTTTCTATTCTGTGACATAAAACTTGATCTGTGTGTACAACATACTAAGACATGTATAAAATTAGAAAGCATGAGAACTCAACTCGCAAGTCATGACATAGTCAATTATTCTGAGTATGCTTCCAGAAGCTGGCGTGGGTCTCAGTCACCACCAAGGCCTGGATGCCCCATTCGTTGGGAGATGGCATGGCACAGGTAGTACCTTCAAGGTCTTCCTGTTTCATGCTGGGGGTGTGTGAAGGGGATGAGGGAGCTCTGTGCTTCTTTAGCTGGCCAAAACCTGAGACCACACATTATCCATATCACATTATCTAGAGCAGAAGGTTTGTCACTGATCCTGTGTCCCTGGATGAGGGAAACCTCATTCCAAATCACATGAAGCAGACATCATTTGACAGCATTGAGACATCAATGTTTAGCACCCCAGTAACAAATGCACAGAATCAAGAAGAAGGTGAGGCAAAGGTGACTAACTCTACAGAATAGACAGTTACTGACTATGCCTATCTGGCAGGTGCTGGGTAAACCCAGGTGGTCATACCTGCATGCAGAGGCTACTCACAGCCTTCCTGGCCATCCAGACCCAGAGGACCTGTCTCCACCAGCCTCTTTCTATCTCTCAAACACTCTAGCTTGTTTCGGCCCCAGGGCCTTCCCACCTGCTCACAGCTTTGCCTTAGATACTCATTCCCCAGGTCTGCATGTGGCAGGCACCACTACATCTTTCAGATGGTGGCATAGAATGTCATCTGCATCCAAACAGTAGCACCCCATCCCCCTCAGCTCTCCAGCCAGGCCCAGTTCCCTGGCTATACCTCCTTCATGACATGAATGGCCGCCAGAGAAGATGTTTTGTGTGTACTTGTCCTGTATATCTTGCTTACTGCTACACCCCTCGTGCCTAGCATGGCCCTGAAGGGGAGCGGGGAACACAGAGGCAGTGGGGCCATGAGTGCAGGCTCCATGGTGCTGCTGCCATCCACAGTGGGCAAGTTATGGGTAGGAAAATGAGGCTGACCCTCAGCTCAAAAAGTTGGAGACAGACACAAGGAAAATGATGGACAAGACTAAGGGCCATGGCAGAGGGGAAGGATGTGGAGTGAGGAAGAGAGGCAAAGGGAAGGTTTCATGGAGGGAAAGGGGGCCTGAGCTATGCCGAGAAGTAGGCAGAAGGGGAGCCAAGGTCTCCTCCCAGCGGTGGGTGGCAGAGCACAGACATCTAGATTGGAAGGGCCAGTCGGACACAGGGCTGCAGGCAAGGCAGCATTACAGGCACTGAATGAGTGAGGTGGGGAAGGGTGGAGATGAAAGAAGCCATCCACACACACACTCATCCAGCTGGAGTTACAGAGTACCAGGGCCAGCACTGAACTAAAGACACAAGATGGGCAGAACAGGCACAGATCCTACTAGCAAGGAACTGGCAGCCTCGTGGGGCAGGTAGGGACCTGACCACGTGGGTCCCCAGATACCATGCTGGGTACGCCAGCCTGTGGCGCACAGGTCAGACCTGTGTGTGGACAGATCCTTCTGACGGCAGTATGAAGGGTGGGTCTGTGGGGTTAGACTAGAGTTACTGGCCGAGGGCTCAGTAATCGGCAAAGGCTGGAGACAAGAAACCATGGCAGACTGAGGAGGAGGCAAAGATGCCTGGGAAGATGTGGCAGGAGCAGAAGCAGGATCAGGGTTAAGCAGCTCACCGGAGTCTCGCCTATGTTATCAGCATGGGACCGGCGGGTTGGGGACCTGACTGTGGCTCAGAACATCCTCCCCTAACCACCACACACCTGTCACCTGTCCACTGTCCCACCACAGACAGACAGACAGCGAGCTGAGGACCTGGGGTGTCAGCACTCACAGACAGACAAACAGATAGTGAGTTGAGGGCTGTGGGTGGCAGTGTAGCTGTGCTCACAGACAGACAGATGGACAGCGAGCTGAGGATGCTGGGTGGCAGTACGGCTGTGCTCTTTCTACTCACCAGTTAAGGGGTAGAGATGGGGAACCACCTTATGTTATATTTATATAAAGTTAAGAAAAATTAGAATTTTTAAACAGATCTTAGAACTGAAAAAAGGCATTTTGAAAATGAGTTGAGTTCCACAGTGATATATATTTATAGCCAACTGGTTTTCACTGTATGTATTTCTCCAGGGCTTTGGAATTCATGAGGTGTCCTGCACACCTCAGCTGCTGAAGCCCCAGACATGAGGCCAGAGTGTCCTGGTTTGGCCCAGTGAGCTTCTTGGCTCCAGGCAGCCCATCTTCCTCATCTGTGAGTAGAGGACTCTGGGTGGCAGTGCAGCTGTGCTCAGACAGACAGTCTGCATGGATACTTCCCTTAGAGGCAGTGCTAAGGGTTACATGTGCCGACAGTGGTCAGGTAAGTGCCCGCCTCAGGTTGGAGGGAACACTCCCAGGCTGGAGGGTGGAGCATTCTCAGTCTGGAGGGAGCACTCCCAGGCTGGAGGGAGTACTCTCGTGGTACTGTAGTGATAACTGCCATTTCTCACCACTGAGATCAGCAGCAAGCATTCTTCCCTTCCCTGATGTGACCGGCATTCCACCTCCACCCTCACTCCAGGTGTGGTGGAGGCACACCAGGGCACAATAAGGTGATGGGGGGTCAGAGGACACACTCGGGGAACCCAGAAGCATTGCGTATGGTCAGGTGGGGCCAGGCGCCAAGCCAAGGGCAGGGATACGAGCTGAAGCAGAGAATGCAAAGGGTGGTGGAGAGGCCAGCGCTGGACTGGTGTAACTGTGCCAAGTGTCAGCTGCAGACACTGTTACTATCAGAGCTGCACTGCAGACAGCGAAGCAGGGTGAGCTGAAGCCCGGATGCTGGTATAGATGGAGGGTTCAGGCTTAAACTTCAGCTGGGCCAGGTGGTGGCGCTAGTGTCTGGGGTGGGTTCCTTCATTCTCCTGCACCTCGGATCCTCCACTGGTGACCTGGGACCCTTACCTCTGAAGTGAGGACTTCCACAACGCCCTTGGCACAGTGTCTGGTAAAGACCAGGCATTCCTCAGCCCTGGACACGTGGTGATGGCCAGGCTGATTACTACCATCACCTGTGAGCAGAAGCCAGGAAAGGACCTGGTAGGATTCGTGCTCGGCTGCAGAAGCAACTTAACAGCACACGTAAAAGTTCAATCATGTCTTCATGCCACATAGTTCTGTGTTCAATGCTGGTCCCATCACATACACCTGTGTGGCCTTGGCCTATGACCTGACTCTCTGGACCTTGATGTTCTCATGTGTAAAATGAGTATTGTGACATCTACCTTGCAGAGCTGTCATGGAGATTCACACAGAATTTAGAGTTTACCTGTAACCTGGCCCCTCTTCTTCTCATAACAAAGCAAAGAGAGGAAGATGTCCTAAGAGTGCCTGAGGTTCAGCGGCCGACACTCAGGAGTCCCAAGGGGAAGTTGTGGAGGCAGGCCTTTCCTAGGCCTGATGAAGAGGCTAAGGCACAAAATCCCACTTTGTTGTCACCCTCACCAACAGGAGTCCTCTTTGTCACAGGAGTCACTCAGCCACCAGAAGAATTCCATTTGGCCACTGGGCTTGGTTCAGAAATGTCTGGCTACTGTTGGCCCAACTGCAGCTGCCAGAGGGGACGCAGTGCTGCTAGCCTCTCCTGGGAGGCTCATGGTACTCAGAAAAGGAATTCAGAACCCTACCTCTCTACAAGGTAGGAGACAGCAAAGATGGGACCAATTCAGACTGAAACTATTAAGTGCCTGGGATACAGGTTATGTCAAATAATATCACAAACTGGCAGTACCTTCAAGGTCACACCTATCACATTGAGGGCCTCTTTCACCTGCGGGTGGCTTGTGCACTCTGCAAGCTCTTCACATATCCAGATCCCAAGGGAGCAAATGGCAATGCATCTTTCGAAAAGAAGAACACAGAAAACAACTCTTGTGAAACTGAATGCATTTTTTTGGTATTTTCAAATGATAAAATATTTTAAGTCTATTTATACAAAACAGCCAACATAATGGAGACATTAACAGAGTGTCTTCTTGAGAAAAGATAAAGAACCTTCAATTGGCCAGCTCTCGGGACAATCAGAAACGTTGATGGTGGCTTACTACTTAAATATTCAATGAAACAAATGGCATATGTTCTGCTAATTGTCACAGTCCATATATCACTTATTTTTGCCGAAATGAATCTGTTATTATATTTTACTGTTTCAAGATATTTTAAGGAAGAATAAAAAATAGGAATTGGTGAAAATTGAGTTTGTAATTGTTTCCCTTATAAGCATAACACCTACTATAAACATAAGACAGGCCCTATACTTTATTTTAAAGTATATTTGAATACAATTTTCAAAATACATTTCACTGTTATTTCTTCTGAGCAATGTGCAAGGACAAGGTATTCTTAAAAGAAAATTGACTCTATCATATACATTTCTATTCTGTTTTTAACTCTATAGACATGTGACTTCCCACATTACAGAAAAGTGGGGAGAACTGTCAAGACTCATTGATAGCTGGAATGTGGTGTAGATGAGAAAAAGAAGAAATCAAAGTGTCCCACAAGGTTCTGGACTGAAAACCTGAGTAGATAGTGGTGCTATCTGCTCTCATGAAATCCGAGGGACAGTTAGGCTCTGGGGGCCAGAGGGCAAGTTAAAGGATTTAGTCATGGCTGTGTTTAAGTTTGGATATGTTAAGACATTCAAGTTGAGCTGTCAAATCGGCAGTTTAATGTGTAAGTATGAGCACATAAGCAGAACACTGAAGGAATTCATGAGCAGTAGATAGTATTGAAATGCTAGTTGGAAGGGATAAGAGCAGCCAGGAGGCCATAGAGGGACACCAGGCCCAGTCCTGAGCCTGAGTCGCTCTAACATTCAAAGATGAGGTGAGGAAGAAGAGGAGAGCAGAAGAGCAACAGTGAGGGAGGAGCAAAACCAGGAGATGTGATCTAAGGAACAAGTGCCTTTCCAAAAGGGGGCGAGAGGAACTCCAGGATTGGTAAGTAACAGAAGCACAAGCACATTTGTAGGAGAATCTGTGAAGGAACTGCAAGAGAGTCTATGGCTTCTTTACAAAGTTGGGGTAGTAGCCGAACGTGGTGGCTCAAGTCTGTAAACCCAGCATTTTGGGAGGTGAAAGTAAGAGGATTGCCTGAGTCCACAGGTTCAAGACCAGCCTGGGCAACATGGCGAGACCTGTTCTCCACAATAAATCAAAAAATTAGTTGGGTGTGATGGCATGCACCTGTAGCTCTAGTTATTTGGAAGGTTGAGGAGGAGGGATTGCCTGAGCCCAGCAGGTCAAGGCTGTGATGGCCATGAGCTTGCCACTGCACTCCAGCCTGGGTGACAGAGTGAGACCCTGACTCAAAAAAAAAGTTGGGGTAGTAAATATAATATAAAAAAATTATTTAAAAAAGGCAAGATAGAGATGAAGGCAAATAAAAGAAATATTGAGAAGACTTGATTTAAAATAAAGTATAACATTAGAAGAAGCACATTTAAGTAGATCAGAAATCACAGCAAATGAAAATGAACAAAAGCTCCAGTTAAAAATAAAGGCTAGGTGGCAGCTGCGGGAGCGGCGGCCGCCTCGGGAGCCGGAGGAAAGGCAGCCAGGAGCGGAGAGCCGGCCGCGCCCCGAGGCCTGGCCCTGGGGGTGGGGAAGCGCACCCGGGAGCTGGAAACTTTCCCGGCAGGAGCTAACTTTTGGGCAAGAATCTCTCTCAAGAGAAAGGAAGGAAGAGAAAATTGTGAACTAAGCCGCCTCCCTGTCTTTCCTGGTGAATGAGAAGCTACTCCTAATAGAAACAAAAGAGTGTTGACAATGCTAAAGGCTGTGTTGAAGAAGAGCCGAGAGGGAGGAAAGGGAACCAAGAAGGAAGCAGAAGTATTTTAAAGAAAAAAGGAGAAGAAAAGAAGAGAAGATCCAGAAGAGCGGAGACGGGGCAAGATGGCGACGGCATAGGTGAACTGGTGAGATTCTCTGAACGGACCAAGACTGCAAACTGCTGAACAGACAGACTGTAAAGCAGAGGGAAAGTGAACAAACCAGAGACCCTCATAAGG